CATTACATAAGATAACTTTGTCCATGAATTCTGAAAACTTAGAAAAGTCAACATCTCTGGCATTTTGGTTCCCTAATAGATGGCAATAAATAGTACCAGTATGTCTTGATTACTTCACAAACTGAGAGCCTTTCTCTTGTAACCAGAGCACCCAATGCTCATGTTAATGTTTGAAGGAGCCAAAAAAGTAGAGATTGCTGTAAAACATTTTAATCCATATTGACAAACCATCACACTAACCAGGGACTAGCCATAGGTAAAGAATGCAAGACTAATTAAAGAACATGATGCAGTTACTCTCCATATCTCTCTTTACTCAGTGGCTCGTCATTACCCTCCCACTTCTTAATTACATCTGATCCTGATCACACACGCAAGATACGGAAATCAGCCAACATGCTGCTAAGTATGTGGCACCATGATCTCATTAGCCTAACAGCTAGCTGCTAATGGCTTCATTAGAGCTGTTTGCTGCTAAACCATTTAGCCACAGTAGACTTTACCTACTGCAGGAAGCTGAGCCATTAAGCACCGTTGATAGCTAATGATATTTTGTGTGATATAACAACTACAGTATTTAGCATAAGCAATCATGTTAAATTGCTGCATGATTTAGTTTGCATGTTCTGGAAGCTTTGGTCAAGCTTTTGTCAAGATTTGAAATATGGTTCACCATTTTATATTCCCTATGTCTATGTGTTATTTTATGAAAACAGATGCAGGATTATATCCAGTCCTGTCCGGTCTCATAAAGAGTCTTGCTGCAGTCAGACTGTTTGACCCAACAGGTGTCAAAATGGCCTCAGGAAGAGCACGGCTACTGGTAACACAACCCAGTCTCACGGCATTTCGTGTTATAGTCAAGACATTTAATCTATTGATTTGTGTTCACCAACACGATTTCCCCCTTTTTTTCGTGTCACACAGAACGATTTTAAAAGCAATGTATTTCTATTGGTAGTATGTTTCGTGCCTGCACCACGTCTTTTTGTCCGGTCGGGTCTTGGAAGACCGGAAACTGTGTGGTTCATAAAAACATGTTCTTACTCAATATCAAGCCACGATTATTGTTTTTATTTTAAATCGTATAATGTCTGACTTTTTTTGCCGTCCGTGCGGAAAAGAAATGGGGCTCAGAGCCTCAGAATACTGAAATCTGTATTTTTTAAAATCTTTTTTTCCTTCTAATTTGTTATTCTTTTCTAAATAACACACTATTAGGGTTAGGGGGAAAAAAGAGGAAAATCGTGTTGGTGAACACGAATCAATAGATTAAATGTTGTGACTATAACACGAAATGCAGTGAGACTGGGTTGGATAACAGGGCCTCCGGCTGATGTTACTGCCATTCTTTTTTCCCATGATTCTTGTAATCGTTCACGTTTGATCTAAGCCTATTTCCTTTTTTCCATTCCTCTTTTTGATAACTTTCCAGAACTTAACTAGCCCGTCTCCGCGCTGTAGTTTTACTTTCTGTTTTTTCTCTTTAATCACTTTGTTGGTTTTTCATGCCATGCAAGGCGGTGTATTTATCCAAGATAACAGTTGGGTTTCCCCTCACTTTGTGGGTGATGCAGGATAATTGCTGTTGGTGTGTGTGTTTGTCTGTGTCCGTGTGTATGTTTGTCCCCATATTCCACTGAATAGAGCACAGCAAATGTTGGACAGGAACCCAGAAAACAATGTGTGTATATGGAAATGTGTCTAAATGAGAGAATAACTTTGTACAGTAGCCAACGTTGACTGAGCATTACAGCAGACATTTGCATTGAAGAAGGTTACAGGTACTTAAAGTATACTATCACTTTGCACATTTATGCTTTGAGCATCAATGCAAATAAGAATAGTGATCTGCCAGAAGCTTACACAGGGGTTCCTCTTACAGGAGATTTCAGAGAGAAGGTTGGGAACCAAAGTACGCCCTAAATAGACTTGAATTCAAAAACATAATAAAGCATTGCTGTTTTGTACAAGTGAACTAATGTTCTGGTCTGTTTGTGGCAAAACTAGATATTCAAACCATGTATCTTGCTTTTAGCTAACAGTTTCAAATGTTTATTAACCTAGTTTAAGCTAAAACTATTTCAGCTAAAGGTTTTGCTTCCTATACTCTTTATCCATTAGCTTACTGTTAGATTACTTATTTAAATATACGTACCCATTATCTTAAGCTATTTCGCCGAGTTACATATTTGTATTAGGTTTTAGCTAGCTTCAACTGTTTGGATTTAGCTATTTCACCGTTAAGCCATTACTATTATATCACTTTTTTGAACTGTTGATTTATAATATAAACTTGACTATACGTCAAGACATCCACTACGACCACGTAGGTATAACTTTAAAAAACATATAGATCTCTGTTAGTTTGCTTGTCAAATACTCAATAGAAACACACAGCTAACTCAATATATTATTTTTTCCCAAACATATTGTTGTTTTAATTATTTTTACGTTAGTTGGAACAGAAGAAGAACAATGATAGAGATAAGGAGTTGGAGGACTATCTGACATGTGTTTTCAAATTTTAAAAAAGCAGGTTTGGATTAAAAGGAACCAAACATTTGTTGAATACCGCCGGAATCTGACTAAGACATATTTCTTTGCAATGTTTTATACTGTAATAAAATAAAATACAATTGGAGACTTTTAGGAGTATAAACAAACAATAGGATGAACATGTCAGTGTATCCTCCAGGATGAGATGCCTTTGCTCTCTCAGTCTGTCTGCTTAACTGTAATCTTAAGTAATTGTGTTTAGAAAACACTTGAGCTGAAAGACTTCCTCCCTTTCAGAGAAGCGAGTCACAAAAGGAGAAACCTGAGCCCAGCGCGATTCTTTATCTGGATCTGTCTCTCTATTCTTCTGAGGTTTTTACATGACCTGGGTCTTTGATGGAACAAGATAGAGGATGGTTTTCTTTTTGGGGGAGATCATAGCATTTTTAACAGGTTTTAGTTTTGTTATTGTCTAAATTATATTTCGGAACGTTCATAGTTTCAAGGGAAAGGCCCTCCTAAGAACATTGGGTATATCGTAGGATGATCAGTAGTAAAATAAGTTCACCATAAACTGGACCAAGTGTCTGACCCAAGATAACACAGCTACTGAGTACGCTGTACACTAGTTTCTTAAACTGTTATCATAGAAACATTATAGTTGTCCTGCAGCATGCATGTGTCTTTCCACAGCTAAGCATTCTGTATCAAGGTGGCTGCAGAGTGCAAGGAAGCAAGTGTCTAGTTTTTCCTCAGGAAACAGTCCATTTCCACTTGGCTCGAAGACAGAACCGGAACTTGTTTTGCGTAAGCAAGGTTTAAAAATAACAGAGTATAAAGGCAGAGAGCTGCAGAACGCTGCCCTCACAGCAGCTGCAGCAGCAGAGAGAGGAGGAAAGACACAATGACCCAATGGGTTTATTTAGTTTAGTTTCCATATTTGGAATTTAAAAATCTAACCCAAGTTCTAAGGAAATATATTGTTTAAACAACTAATGTTTCTCTGTTTAAATAATAAAGCATATTTTTTTAAACTTCAGAAAAGGATCTACTTTTGTGTCCAAATAAGAATAATGATCACTAGAATTTGTGCCACAATCGACTGCCTGTTAGATATGATTTATCATACTATTATATATTGAAAATCAAATAAGGGTTATTACTCTTGCATCTGTTTATTTAATGCTTGAAAAAAAGAAACTATTTTCTAATGGTCAGATAAGGTATATATGTTACTTTATTTATTAGTTTTTTGCATTTTGGGTTTCAAACCCACATGGAAAGTTTAAAAATAAAAAAATGTACCCCAGTATGTTATATGTTAAATTAGTTTAAATATGACCACAAGCCAACAAATGTATTATCAAAATGACTTCAATGCTTCCCCAGTTATATTTATTCATGTCAATGTGACAAAGTGAAACTATTTGAAACTGGTTGGGGGAAATATTTTACAAAAACTATGGAATAACGGTTACTGAATAATTTGGAGGTTTTTAAAAATTAATAAGGCTGTTCACAGAAACCTTTTTTCTCCTGTTGGCTGTTATCAGTTCTCCACATCGACACCCATCCACCTAACATTACCATAGCTGCAGGGGGTTAACAGAGATGCTGGCTGTGGGGAGATCATTAAGAAACATGCATTTCTTTGTTGATTACCCGGATTAACAGGTTGTTTCGATGAGCCAACGCTTCGTACGTCCGTCCGTGCAGGGATCAACTCAGGACAAATGAATGATGTGAGAGTGTTGTTGGAAGATTCTGGGTGAAACTGATGGATACCTTTCAACTGTAAAATAAATGCATTTCCGGTAAATGTTTTGTTTTTAATTAAGCAAATTATCACAGATTGGATATATTCTGATTTTTTAAAAACATTATAAATTATGTTTGTTTTCTAAATAATATATAGGAAGCATGTGTACTTAAACACAACATGACCAGGGACTTGGATAACGTTTTATGCACTGGAATTTCGATTTCCCAGTACTCCCTGTGATGCCAGGTTTACTGTCGCCCCCTGTGTGCCTTGAGGGACATATTTGATTGTCCCATGAGACAGAAATCGCTGCTGTATAGGTGAGTTTTATAATACAGCAACTTTATATTTTACTCGATGATGAAAGTTGATATGGACAAATATTGTATAATTTATAAATAAACCACTGTCATGATTGAAAAAGCGTGTGTGTGTGTGTGTGTGTGTGTGTGTGTGTGTGTGTGTGTGTGTGTGTGTGTGTGTGTGTGTGTGTGTTCAAACACGTGTTATTAATGCTTCATGCAAAGTAATGCTTGTCAATGATTCATATGAAATTGTGGGTGACTAAGTCATGCATTTCACTAATGTACCTGCTTGGCGCACCTGAATGCCACTTTATTTATGTGTGTTTGCACTTTTGGTTGCTGTGGGGGAGGTGTGTGTGTGCGTGTGTTGTGGTGGGGGAGTATAAACCACACCTCCAAGTATTAGGAGAGGAGCCTATAAGAGGCTCCGTTAGCTCTGTTAACACTCACATTCTGAATCCTGGAACGTTCCTCAACGTAACAAAACAGGCGATTCATGGACAGATAGCAAAGTCCCAGTTTACTTTTACAGTTTAAATTCTTGTTATCTGTCATCCAAGCGCTCATTATGGCTGTGGCTGAAGCAATGATGCCCGCAGTAGCAGCGTTTCCAAGTGTCCAAGCGATGGAGGGAAAACATTTTGTCAATGTAAGTAAATTATTTAAAGTGTAACACGTTTATGTAATGTTAGCTGTCGATTTCTGTAATGATGTAATTGTTATATTTGGCTCATATTAGAAACGTCTTCTAACTTTGGTGCTTTTCTGTGCAGATCTGCAAGGTGGATGAATGTGCTCGCCGTAGCGCAACAGGTGACGCAGACAACCCTCTCCTGGAAGTGGAGTTCAGCATTGTGCAGTCACCTGCGTTTCCCCCCCAAAGACGACGACGACTTGGGGAAATTCTTGGACCTCGAGTTCATTTTGTCAAACACAATCGACTCCGATGTTGGGAGCAACAACGGGAACCTTTCTCCCCCTCAGCAATGCGTGTACTTTCTGCCGGAGTCACCGGAGAGCTGCAGCTCTGTGCCAGACAGCAACGAACACCCTCCGGCTCCGATGGCTGCGCAGAGCTACCACGGGATGGTGAGCTTTGCGGGATCCAGCCCTGTCCACAGTCTCATGGCGGAGCTTCTCACGCCAGAGATCGGCTACCCCGGGGAGAGTTCACCGGAGAGCGCAGGCAAGGCGAGAAACCAGATGGAGTACACCGAACTACGAGCGTTGAATCCGGGCACCGTTCCAGCAACTCCGGCTCATCACCAAGCGGCCACTTCTCCTCCCCCGCTTGGATACAAAATTAAAACCGAGCCTGTAGACCAGTCATGTATGATGGGTGCTGGTGGGGACTTTATGGGACAACTGTATGAAAGGCACCACATGCGCCCAGTGCACCAAGCCGCTTTTACGCACCACCATGCCACAGTTCCAGGTGCTTTGCAGGGATTCAGTGCACACTCAGTGCAACATGCATCTCAAGTGCGCACAGACTGCCATTTGGCGCAAATGAACTCTCATCCGAATCATCACCATGTCAACAATCAGTACATGAACGCGCCTTACCAGCCGCAGTATGCGCACCAGCGTTTGGCACAGTTTCAAGGACAGTACAGCATTCACAGAGAGCCTGTCCACGTTCACCAGCAGCAGCATCCCGCTTCTGTTCAGGGGGTGATGCTCACTCCTCCATCTTCGCCATCATTGCTGGAGTTTTACGCACAGGATGATTTGGGAAGCATCAAGCAGAAGAGAGGCAGAAGGTCGTGGGCAAGGAAACGGGCAGCGACGCACAGCTGCGATTTCCCTGGCTGTGGAAAAACCTACACCAAGAGCTCCCACCTCAAGGCCCACATGAGAACACACACAGGTAAGAAACAAGTCATTTGAAATGTCACTTCACCTGTTTTTATTTTATACTTAGTGTTCATGCACTGTAAATCCTGTAAATCTAACAAATCTTTTTTGTCTCTCAGGTGAAAAGCCCTACCACTGTAACTGGGAAGGATGCGGTTGGAAGTTCGCAAGGTCAGATGAGTTGACCCGTCACTTCAGAAAGCACACCGGACATCGCCCTTTCCAGTGCCATATGTGCGAGCGGGCATTTTCACGCTCAGATCACCTGGCTCTCCATATGAAGAGGCACATGTAGACCATATTGAACTTTTGCACCCATCATTCCTGGATCTTCCCAGCAGAAGAAGCAAGAGTTGGTGCCTCACTTTTGGACAGTTTGTGCATACGGCCCAAACCAATGACACAAAACGTCCCTGTAGGAATCTTGGTGTGTGGTGTGAGTTAAACAAAACACACGTTTGTTACTATAGGATCCTTTTAATGTTTTCAAAAGTCAAGTGCCTCTCCATGTAAACGAAGAATGAATGCTGGTGGATTGTGTACATATCTGTGGATATAAGAACTTTGGATAAATTGAGTTTGTATTTAAGACCTTTTCACCCTTTCTATCAAATAAGTTATTGTTAGTAAGTGCCTTAACAAGACTGGGTTTTACCCTCCAAAAGGGAAAAAACTCACTGTGGGCAGGACCCAGATTTTTGTACATATTGTAAATTGTATTTTTGGAATGTTTACATCTTATATCTTTGATACTACTCAAATCAGGTCAGGGTTTTTATTGACACTTTTGTATTATTCTTTCTCAAGGTTGTTGTTAGTCTACACAATAGATGTTATAGATATGCTGCACAGTGTAGGCTTGGCTTACATTTCAGACTTCTGCTCTGTGCTTTAGCTCGAGCATTGCTAAATTCAGGTACTATGGCTCATTTTCAATCAATTTGAGCATTCCAAAAAACCTTACTTCACTCGATTCAAATGTCAAATTTTACAGTGCAGTGTTTTCTGGGGAAACAACACGTATGCTGTTATGGTGTGTTTTTTTAAGAATGAAGAAATCGACTGCAACCAATGGTTGTTCAATGTGTCACTTTTAAACATTACAATTGTTTATGTGTTTAAGGGCTCAGAAAATAAAAGTACTTTTATCTGCCTCTTTTCTCACTGTCAAGTTATGATTTGTGTTGATTGACTCCTGCCTAAACTTGATAATGGCCTGGTTCACTCCAAAAGGACGCACGGGACAACTCAATCTTGACTCTTTCCTTTTTATTTGAATTCAAGTGGAGTTATTTTAGATTTCATGTAGCTTCATTCAGCTTTCATGAAGCATCATTTAGCTTCATTTAGCTTTCATGTATCATTGTTTAGCTTCATTTAGGTTGAAAACCTTTAAAAAACACACTTTCATTAACTTAAAACAATTAGGCAAATAAAACATTCAAATGAAAAACATGTCATACTTAAACATGCACTTTCATTTCTGCTCTATGAATTTAAATTGAATTAAGTGACAATTAAACTTACCATTTCATGCAAAAAGTAAATTCATTTCAAGTAAGTTAAATCCCAGTTTCTTATATTTTAGAATAATAAATCAGAAGACAGACTAGAAATAATAATTAATTTAATCAAACATTTCTTCAAACCAGACAAATGCATTTACAAATACACCAGCAGCATTATGACTCAAGCTCTTCTTTGAAACACATTTTCAGTGGAAACACAGATTTTAGGATCCCTGTCACCACCTGCTGGACTGGAGCCATATTTTGAAATTGCTTTTCACTGGTTTTGACGAAACACTCACTATAAAAAATGTATTCACTATATTAAGGCCTGCGCCGATGCTTTTCCATTATTTCGACTTTAGACGGGGAAAAAAATGCAGACTTGTTTTCTTTACAGTGTTATTGTCGGCTTGGTCACATTTTTAAATACAAACAGTGACAGAGATTGCAAATCTTGTTTAAGCCCTACATTTTCAGCATGTTTAGGTCGGACACAGTAGGGTTCATTCTTCAGTGAAGGAAACGGAATATCGTCATTGTTATTGTGCATTATCAACACCTGTGCCAATTGCAAGTGCTGTTTAAGGGTCAAGATCATCAGACATTAACAGCTGTAATATACATTTGAAATGCAAACACAAGTTATGTCAGGGCAAACAGCATGCTTTTGTTCATTTCAAACTTTGTACTGCTGCTGATTAAATACTGCCCTCTAATGTTCATCCATATATTAACATCTTCCTAACCTATCATGCAGGGTTTACCACTTTCAATTGCCTTAACCATTGCATTAGTAGTAATACTCAATAGTTAATTGTAAAAACCAATAAGTTAAACAAATGTGCTGTTGACCCTCTCTCCTAGGGTTAAGGAACTGAATGGAGCAGCATGTAAAATATGTCTTTGTCATTCAAAGATATATATTGAATTCCCAACTTGTTTGTATAAGCTGTTGTTTTCCTCACATGACTTTATCATTATTGCCATTTTGTGTATGTTGATTCAAAGAGAAAGGGCATTCAAAACCAAAGCAACTCATTATGGTGACTGGGTTGAAGAACATAAGGTGGTTGGTAGTTGGCATAAAAACAATCATATGGGATACATCTCTTTAATCACTTGAACAGAGACAGTAACACTACCTGGACCAGCATGCACCACCACACTCCACATTACTTTTACAAAATCACATGACAACAGTGAGTGTTTTTTTCTATTATTGGCAATGATTATTTTCTCTTTGAATCTTCTCGTTTATTGTTTTATAGAGGACTCAGCAGTTCTCAAAAACAAATTAAATTAAATTAAATAAACAGAAAGGTTCCAAAGAATGATATATCATTCCTCTTTATCTATCTCATTTTCTCCAGGTGCGAAAGGCTCATAAATAACAACCTGTGATATTCCATAGTGCTGTCATTTTGGATGACCAATGTGTTGTGATGCTTTATTTGTTATGCAGTATTTCTGCCACTAGATGTCATCATTGGTTCAGTTTCTGCATATAGTCTCTGGTAATCAGGATAATTATGTCCACCTGTTTTGATTAGTAATGCTCATCTCCTGTGTTAAAGTGTTTCGCACAGCAGAAATGCTTGCTGTAATAATAGGATTGCAGTGGGTTGAAGAGGTCGGACCAGATAGTTGACCATTAAATCATTAGATGTCACCATTTACTTCATTAAGTTGTGGTGACATCTTTATATATTCAGTCTCTGGGTGAAATGTGTCAATGTCTTTTCAGTCAGCCACACATTTTTATTTTGGCAATTTATCACAGCATCCATTTTGACCTGTTTATTTATAGAGCACCTTTCAACACAAGGCTCTGTTCTGTTTATGTGTTACAATGAGAGTGACAGTGAGCCAGCGTATAAGATAATAGCAACCTGAAATCAGAAGCTAGATGGAATTAAACCAGTATTTATTTTATTATTTGAAAAATCCTGTGATGAGTTTGGGCAGTAGAGGCTCTGTTCATAAGGCCTTGTCCCTGGAATCTGAATGGACAAAGTACAGTGTGTGGACTGGTACAGGGTCAAAGGACAGGGTCTATATTTATTTGTAAATGTGTGACAAAAAAAATTAATTTCCTTAGCGTATCTTTTAGATTGTTGCTTTTATTGCTTTTAAATTGTCTAATGTTTTTACTTTTACTTATTTTATGGTTTGTGAGCTGTGCTGTGTGATTTTGTATGTATGTTTTGTTTGTCTATTTGACTGTACAGTACTTTGGTCTGGAGGTTTTAAAGTGCTTTATAAATAAAGCTGTATTGTATTTCATATTGTGATGTGGGCTCGCCTGCATGGGCACTGATTGGTTGGACTTGGAACAGGTGTGTTAATCAGCTGAGAGACTCGTCAGCTGGAACCCTCCACCTCCTTCCCTCACACTGACATATTGGTAGCCCGAGTGGTTTGTAAAGTTGAACAGGGCCTACTGCCTGTACGTGTTATCAATGTAAACAATGAAGCGTGGACATTAAAGAGGGGCATGAAAGTGAGCACGCTTTTCACCGACATTGAGGTGGGGGATGAAGTGAAGCAGTGCGAAGACGGTGATAGCGGAGACGTACATCAGTCTTGGACAGTAGACATGCTTATGAAACAGTTTGGGGTGGAAGAAGGGCTTTTCCCCCGGGGAGCTTAGTGCAATCAGACAGTTACTGTACCACAACACCTCTGTGTTTAGTCGGGGGGAGACTGATTTAGGCAGGACTCCCTTGATCTTGCATGAGATTGACACAGGAAGCCTGTTAAGATGCACCCACGAAGAATCCCCCTCCACTTACAGCAAGAAGTAACTGAAAATGTAAAGCAAATGCTGGACAATGGTATTGTTCGTCCTTCCTGTAGTCCATGGGCAGCACCTGTGGTGCTAGTGAAAAAGAAGCAAGGTGGGCTTCGGTTCTGTGTCGATTATCGGAAACTCAATGATGTTACTAGAAAGGATGCCTACCCCCTTCCTAGAATTGACGATGCCTTGGATAGTCTTAGTCATGCTCGTTGGTTTTCCACCCTGGATTTGGCGAGTGGCTGGTGGAAGTAGATCCTAAAGATCGCCACAAAACTGCTTTCATCACACCAGGTGCTGTTTGAGTTCAATGTCCTGAGTTTTGGTCTTTGTAATGCACCCAGTACTTTCCAGAGGTTGATGGACTTGATCCTCACAGACTTGCAGTGGACTACTTGTTTGGTTTACTTGGATGATATTATTGTCAATAATAAAAATAAAATTACTTTTCAGGAGCATCTGACCCGCCTGGATGGCGTGCTCCAGAAGCTTCGGCAGGCCAATCTTAAAGTTAACCCATCCAATCCATTGGATCCACGCAGGTCCTCGGCCATGTCATATCTACAGGGGGGGTGATGCCAGACCCTGCTAAGATAGAAGCATTTAGGGGTGGCCTGTTCCAAAAAACCAGACTGAAGTTCAGAGTTTTTTGGGGCTAGCCTCGTACTATAGGTGTTTTGTAAAAGGTTTTGCTGACATCGCTCACCCCTTGCATCAGCTCACAGAGAAAGGGAAGCGTTTACGATGGAGTGAGGACTGTCAAAGTGCTTTTGACCGACTTAAGGCTAGTCTGATCACGACCCCCGTGTTGGTGTATCCTGACCCCAGTAAACCGTTTACCTTGGATACAGATGCAAGTGATGTTGGAATTGGGGCAGTGTTGTCTCAGGAGGAGGGAGGGCTAGAGCGAGTTATTGCATAGCAGGGCCCTTACAAAACAAGAACGTAAATATGCAACTACCAAAAAATATCTTTTGAGCATGGTGACCTTTACAAAGCACTTTGAACACTATTTTTTAAGTAAAGAGTTTGTTTTGCGAACCGACCATAATTCTCTACGTTGGTTACACAATTTTCAGGGCTTGGAGGGGCAGTTGGTTTGCTGGGTTGAACAGCTAGCACATTTTCAATATAAGATTATCCATCGTCCAAGCAAGCTCCACAGTAATGCTGATGCTCTTTCCAGGCTACCAGCTTTTCTAGAACAAATGCCACATTGTGATCAGCATCCCTCCCAGGGATGCATAAGCATGGTAACCCAAAATGTGGGTGCAGTACAAGAGACCCCCTCGGCTTCAGTGGCATGTCAGGCAGGAGAGATGGATGAATTGGCTCAGGCCCAGATGGATGACACTGAGTTGCGACGGATAATTGACTGTAAAAAGCAGGCCTACAGTCTTATGCCAGAAGACCCTGAACTTCAGAGATATTCCCCTGTGTGGAATCAGCTTCAAATGCAGGGGTCTAGACTAGTGAGAATTCCTCCTTTATTCTCTGATGCTGCGTCTCAAGTGCAAGTCGTCCTGCCCCGGTCCATGGTGCAGAAGGTTTTAGAACAGCTGCACAATGTTTCTACTGGAGGTCATTTGGGGGCACAGAAACTCCAGGGAAAGGTTAAGGACCGCTTTTATTGGCCAGGATGGTTTAGAGATGTTACAGTATGGGTCAAGGAATGTGTGGATTGTGCTTCCCGTAAAACTTCAGGAAGGCTGCCATGTGCTCCGTTACAGCCATCAGTTATGGCTAGACCATTTGAACGGGTAGCACTTGATATCCTTGGCCCTCTCCCAGAGACGGCTAGTAAAAAATAAGTACATTCTGGTTGTTGGTGATTATTTTTTTAAGTGGG